TGAATTTAGTTGCTATCAATATGTGCAAATTGGGCATGAAAGGTTACCATGATATGCTAAAAGGTGAACCTACACACAATGAAATTAGTTATACTTTAAATGTAGACGGTTTAAAAATTGCACTTGGTCCTTATATGACTGTTTTAATTATTTCCATAATTATGTTTTTAATTGAAGTTATTCATTATATTTGTTTTAAAATCTAATTATTGTATAAAGTATTTTTAATTTATAATTTAATGATTATAAAAATGTGAGTTCATATTAATTGTATATAAATTCTTTGCATTCTTAAATATAAATATAATTTATTATATTATATAAAAATAAAAATAAAATATTTTATTAAATAAAGGTTTATACTAAAGAAATTGAATGTCCTAATGCTATCATAGGTAATTTTACGGTTAACTAGCTAGAATTGGTAAGCTAATGTGTTTATAATTATATAATATATAGATATCGATAGTCTCAAATGATTACAAATAAATTTTTGTATTTATTTGTTTTAAATAATATTCTCAACAAAATATGAACATGTTAAATACTAAATGAATTAAATAAATTCTAATTCAATTTTTAAACAAATTTTGAAATGCTGTAAATTATTTCAAATAAATATTTAATTAAATTAAAACATTTCTAATTAAATTAGTTTTATCCATTAGAAAAACTATAATTAATTTAATAATTCTTTAATTGCGAGTAATTTGATATATTTTTAATTATAAGTAATTAGCGTATAATTAATTAATTGTATTTATAATGGCTTTTAAAATAATTAAATTAGTAGTAATAAAATAATAGATTCCATATTTATTATATTTTAACAAAACATTTATAGTTAAAAATATATAAATTAGTTGTTTTGTATAACTATCTCAAACAATTTAAAGTAAAATTTTGGTTAATTAAATTAGATCAAAATTGTTAATTTTGTTTCTACTATCATATTATGTTAACTTAAATTATGCCTGTTTGTAAATACCCTATATATGTCAATAGCCAAGAACCTTTGACATTGAATGTCACAAATGCTATCAAGGGTAATTTTACGGTTAACTGGATAGGATTGGTAAGTTTATAATTTTATTAGATATATATATAATATATTGATATTTATTTTTTAAATTCATTAAATTATAAGTTTTTGAACGGATTTCATACAACTTTGGAAGGGGTTCCATGTTTCTTTATTCGTGAACTAATTAACCTTACTCAATTGGGGTGACTATAATTATAGTAACATTAACAATATACAATAGATAATATGGACGTTGGGTTGTTAAATAAACCTAAGTAACAGATGGTATACTGTAATCAATGGGATTGTATTTTGTTACAGTCTTTTAACAATATAATCTATAATTAATAGTTTTCTTTAATATGTTTAAATTTAAATAATTTATTTATAAAATATTAACCACAAGTTGACTTCAAACTATAAAAAATGATTTTGTAAAGTATAATCTATATTTAATTTAATAAAAATACTTAAATTAATACCTGATATTAGAGACTATAACTTTAAGTATACGTGTCTATGTAAATTATGTTTAATTTAAAAAATTAAAAGTATTAATGATTAAATAAATATATTATAATTATATTTTTGTAATATAATGTAAATTATAGATATATTTAATTAATTTACGAGAAAATATTGGCAATATGCTTAGATTTTTAGTATAATTTACTTAGGTTTATTTTGCAGCCGGTAGTCCATTTATTGTATATAGTATTTTAAATTGTTAGTTTTAACGATTATTTAGACTTGACTGCTCATATTTATTGTATTCAATTCTTTACATATAATAAATAAAAATAAAATATTTGTTAATTAATAATTGTCGCTACTAAATTTGAACATGTAAGTTTATAAGGTACGAACTTAATTAAATAAATGTTACTATAAATAAAAAATATTAATCTTAGATATAATACAAGCCAACTAAACGCATAATTTTCATTTCATGGGTATAAAGATATAACTAGGTACAAATATATTAACAAGGCAAATAATGTTTGTTTAAACATTTAATTTTCAATTTATTTTTCAAGTAATTAATATTTTTATAATTCTCATTGTATTATAAATAAATAATTAGTATGCAATGGGCAACTAAAATGGCCTGGTGACAATTTGACATTTATTGGTGTCCGGGTCTTTTACCACACACTTGCGAACACTTGTACCGTATATTCGGGCGATGACTGCGGCGGTGGGCGCGTGGGGTGGGCTCACCGATTGTAGGCACTGCCGGAACCGTACGTCACATTCACAGCTACTTCTGCGAGAAATTAATAAATTTTCAATTATTTAAAAAATAATTATATTTAAGAGAGAGAGAGAGAGAGCGAGAGAGGGAGAGAGAGAGAGAGAGAGAGAGACTGTAAACTATATAAAAACATTTTAAAAACTTTATTAAACAAACCAGTAAAATGTTTACTGGCTGAATTAATCGACAATAATTCTATAATAATTTTAAGTTTAAATTTACCATAAATTCAATAATAGTTAGTAGTTTTATCAATATTTAAATATTTTTGTTATATAATAGAGTAGCCGGAATATTTAATTATTTTAGAAAATATTCATAAAATAGTAAATTATTTTATTTATCATAAAACTGTTATACTATTTCGTAAAATTTAAAATGTTTATATTTTGTTTATAAATGTTTGTATTAGATCCTACTTGGTTCAACAGTCTTAACATTTTAAAAAATTATCCTGTTTTAACTTGAACAAGATAATATATCTATAAGACAAATAAGCTAGACAATTTTTGCATAATTAAAATAAACTAATAATTACTACTTACATAGCAAACATGCCACTATTTTCAACGCCACAAACTTCATTACCCTGACCAATATTAATGTCACAATGATCGTGGTCACGGCAGCAGCTGTCGGTATCCGTATCCTGACCCAGGTCATCGTAATACTGGGCCGTATTTCCAGGTCCGCACCATTTAGTCCTCGGGAACGAGAAGTTTATATTAATATCTCGTTTCGCATCCAATCGACCGGTCATTGCCTTATGGGCTAACCGTCGGAACCGTTGCCATAGTGTACCCGAGCATAGGGTGACCAGCAATAGGGTTACCAACAGTCGTGGCACTAGTGTTGTGTTAATTTTCATAATTTTTGCGAAAATATTTTTTGTACTTTTGTAACAAATTAATGGCTATTTTTGAGCTATTTTTTTGTTATACCTTTTGAGCACACATACTGTTTTTAAGTTTAAACTACCTGTGCACAATACAATACAAATAAACAACAGGTGCTACTAAAGCTTTTAATACCTTTTGGCTATTGTATTGACACATACAGTATGTTATCCTTATAATGGCTATTAATTTATTTGATAAATTCATTGTGCTCATTTATATATTTGATATTATACTTTAATTAAAATGAATCAATTATATTTATATTTTAAAAAGTTTATTTATCATATTTAATATTTCCTTTTAAAAATAATACTACGTGTAACAATAATACCATACAAACATTTTATTTAAAATATTTATTAAAAATTATTTATAAAATATTACTAAAATGTAATATTAAAATAATTTTAATAAGTAGTAATGCAGGTTTAATATTATTTATTGTTATTTACACACAATAAATGTTGTATAGAGATTATACTGTATATTTAACAGTTTAAAACAATGCAATTTATCTCTATAATCCTAAATACTAAATTATATTAGCATTTAACATATAAATATTTTAAACTTATAAAGTATGAAGTAAATTTTTATTTCCGATATTATCATTATAGATTACTATAATGCCCAAATAATAAAGTAAATGAAGTAAATATTTAAATGTAAATTAAACGTTGTGTCTTAATTATAAGCACTAAAGTAAATAAAAGTTAATTCATATTTAGTTAAATTTAAGATTTTTTTCTCGCTATTTTTGATGTATATTTATAATGCAATATGTATTAATACAGTAGTAGAATAAATCAATATTATTCAATTCATATTATATATGCCCTCAATAAGTATATATTTTTAGTGTATTACATATCTCTATAATGACTTATTTAAATAATTAATTATTTTATTATTAATTAGTCTTATTGAAAAAAGATCTATATTTGTATTATTGTATGTATGTATATTGGTGAGAAAGAGAGAGAGAGAGAGAGAGAGAGAGAAAGGGATTTTTATTGATTTTAATTAAATCAATATATTTAATATGAACATCATGAGCAAATATCGCAATATATCAATCATAATTAATTATAATATATCGTGTATAAATCATGTGAATTTTCATTTTATTTAAGTATATTTTATTTGCCAATATTATTTTATAAATATTAGTAACCTACAGAAAAATATAATTGTCATACTTTTGTATTTATATTATTATTATCATAAAATATAAAAACTTATAATTAAAAAAATATTTTTGAACATTAATAATACTAATACATAATGTTATTAAATTATATAACTTTTAACCCGCATATTATTTCTAAGTATGTATTTGATTTATACATAAATGATGTAGTAAATCGTACATTACATAATTCAAAACCATCAAATTATGCCTGGCTACTTTTAATAACTTATATATTTAATATAACTAAATTACTCATTTCGTATAAACTAAATAAAAATTTACGCTTGGTATTATTTGATATATCATTATTTATTAGTACATTACGGGAATACACCTTTATCATATTAATATTAGCGGTGTGTATGATGTCTATGTTATTATATCAGTTACATTTTCGTAAGTCACAAAGTAATCTAGCGTGGTTATCAGCATTTCTAGTTATGCGTGGTGAAATTAATCCAGAAAATGTGCTCGGATTACGGAATCATTTAAACTTATTACCTAGGATTAAAAAAATTATTACAACTGTATATACATTATTCGAGATATATTTTATATTTGCTGGTAATGTATACAATTAATATTAAAATGAACTAGATTATAATATACAGTATATTTTATTTGACTTTTAGCTTCATTCAATTGTGTACTATTTTTAATGATACAAGTACAAAACTACAATATTGAAACATTTTTCATATCACTCATCCCGCAAGTAATATTTTATCTAGCTATTTATAATATGCTATGCGATTCACTGGTAATCATAGCATTTGTCACCGTGACCATTTATGTTGGACTATTGAGCATAAACAATGTTAACATGGAGTTATCCACAAATATAACAAAAAATAGAAACACCATGCTAATTAATTATTACGTAACCAAGTACATTAACAATCACGATGAATATTGTCAAACTATCAAGTCATATAACTCAGCATGGTCATATGTGTACTTTGTTTTCGTGATAACGCTTATTCCAGCTCATATCATGGCCATGCACATATACCTATTTGAGCAAATTAACCTAGGATTTCGTATATGGATAGGGTTTGTCATGGTCATAATCTCAATTTTAATATTTGTGTTCCAGTTCATATACGCGTGGATATCATATAAGATACACTTACCCTGCAAACTACTGGCCCGGTTGCAATGGCGATTCAATGGCACCGTTAGGTTTAAGCTAAAACTCATGACTTATTTCGAGAAATTAAGTTCAAGAAAATGTAGGATCGGGGTAACAATTGGACCGTTAGTTACTATGACATTTCCAGTATTTTCCGGGGTAATATAATTATTATATTAATACTATAAATAATTTAAGTCTTAATTTATTTGTGCAATAGATTGTCATCAAATATTTGAGATATTTTATACTAGTCCATAAATTTGCTAGCAAATTTAAACACGATATTAATACCAATGTGTAAAAGATATTTTAAAATTATTTATTTAACAAAAATATTAGACAAATAATATTTGTATTAACTTATAAAAACATGTCTGTTCATTTAATTTTCAATTGAATATAGATTATGATAAAGGTGTGTAATTTGTATCATAAATCAAATATTTATACGTTACACTTTTAAAATAATACATAATATATAAATATATTTTAATTCAAATAAATAATACAATTTTAGGTAATATATCATCTGATATGCGGGCATCTAAATATATATTTTAAAATCTTAGCCATAATTTAAAACACGATAATTACATACGATTTTCATATAATTTTTATTGTTATAGCGTTTTTAATATCGTATAGAAATTCTCTAATATGTTATTTTGATTCATATTGACTCCGCCTATAAGAATTGGCGCTAATATCCCATACGATAATAAATACCAATGATAATCCAATATAACCCAATATTATGTAAAACAATGAAAACGCATTCAATTCCATAGTTGGGCCCAATATTAACGGATTAATTACGAGCGACAAATTAAAGCCAAATGTTAGCGCAGCTCCAGCCATATTTGTGACCGAGGTAAATCTTGATAGTAATTGATAGCAAATCCCCAAAAAGGGTGCCACGCCTATCCCATAAATGGCTACAGTTACCCATAATACGTAATCCGCATAATCAATGTAAACCATGGTTGCGATTACAGCTAACATAGCAATCGTAAGTCCAGTGTATACCATAGTAGAGGGCGTTAAGAGTTTAGCACTTAATATTGTAGCGCTCGTCCCAATGATTAACCCGCAGCCATACACCGTGGTCAAATAACCGGCTTTGGCGACGCTAAAGTGAGTGTCATAAATCTGACCAAAGGTCGAAATGTAATAGTACATAGATGAAATTAAACCACCTAGAACCACTTGCAAACATGTGCATAGAATTATTATTAATAATACAAATCGTGTAGGCATAATTTGTGTTCGTATGTCTTCAAATATATTTTTGAAATTTATGCTACCAGCTGGCTCATTAACACTAGTACTGACAATATTTACATTAATGGTCGGTTTAATCATATAGATATATCCCAAGATGAGTCCACAAATTACGATCGCTGAGCCTATAAACGTAAATGGTATCCAAATACTCTTGACGGTTAAAAATGAGTCAATAATTATAGGACCAAGTAGAATCGCAAAATATAATGAAAATTGTAGTGCTTGTATAAATGGACCAGATTCTTTGCCCCATAACTCCATTATCCATACGTTGAATAGCACTTGATTGCCACTATAACTGATGCCATTTGCAAAATTAATGACATATAATACGCTCGTGTATTTGAGTAGGGGTACGACCATAGTTGTCGCGCCTAACAATATAGCGCATAACATACAAACTAATGGTTTATTTATGCTACGATAACCAAAACCTTTGGTAAAATATATCACGTAATTTTTGACATACATTTTAATTATGGAATTGAATATTATAATATTATAGTAATCTTAATTCTCATTTAGTCATGCATAGTTAAAATAAATTTATTTACCTAGAGCACCCAACGTTCGGCCTATATAATACATGACGTAAGCTTTGGATATGCCGGCCAGGGATGTGTTGTATACCCGTTGTAGAGTCGTAAGCGCGGGTCCAATGATCATGGCATTAAATTGCTTATAAATAAATTAATAAACACATTATTAGTACTAATAGAAATAAAAATCTAATTATATAGAAAATAAAATGTAATTGCTTATCATTGTTTAATATTATAATATATCTATTACTAACAATACCCGAACGGATAGTGTTTCCGCTAATTGCAATTACTGATTACTGAATTATAGTCGTATTGTATGTTATAACAATAATATCCAGAACAGATAATCTAGCGGAATGTCTTAGGTATCCAAATCGGTCGACGCGCTATAAAAACGAGTCAGAGTTACAATACTATGAATGAATGTATTTCACAGAAAAATTGTATGCGATATAACCACCGATTTTGACACTTAGGACATTCCGCTAGTTTACCGGACCTGGATATTATTGTCATAACATACCTTACGAGTATAATTCAACCGTGGTTATAACGAAACACTATGCGTTCTGGCATTGCAAGCTAATATTTAATATTGTTTAATAATTTAGTTTATTAACATTTCCTAATTAACTTACAAATACAAAATACATAGCACACAACATAATGGTAAAGTAATATTTTAATTTCCTCGACATTAAACTAGCATCGGTATCCATAGCTAAAATGTTTACTATGTAATCAGTATGCCCTTATTCAAAAATAATTAACTTTTTAATAATTGATGATCAAATTGTGTACTACTCAAATAATGAATTATGTTTATACTGTATTTAATAAGAATTGTGTAAATTCTAATATATCATGTTTTACTACATGTATTTTTAACATGTGTTTATAACTCATGTTGTCAAGAAAATAAATTCAATGGTTATATAATATATTATATATTATACCGTATTAGAATATTTAATTTTATTATTTAAAAATAAAAATCTATAACAATATTTAATAATATTAATTAATTGTATGATATTCACTATATTGAAGGGTCGGTAAATGTGGTCCAGGGTAAGGGCGGTGACCAAAAAAGTAAACAATTTTTGATAATTTTTCAAATCTAATAGGATATTCCGATAAGTGTATTAGAAAAAAGCTTTAATCTTAAGCTTCCAATATTGCTTCAAACTTTAGATATACTTTACATTTAAAGTTTGAAGCAATATTGGAAGCTTAAGATTAAAGCTTTTTTCTAATACACTTATCGGAATATCCTATGATTTAATGCAATTTAATGCAATCCTATGATTTAATTAGTCAACTCTGAAACTCAATACAATTAATGGTCACACAATAGAGAGACTAAGTTATTACAGTAGTTATAGGTTGGTTATAGTTCCTATACGCGTGGATATCCTATAAGATACACTTACCGTGCAAACTACTGGCCCGGTTGCAATGGCGATTCAATGGCACCGTTAGGTTTAAGCTAAAACTCATGACTTATTTCGAGAAATTAAGTTCAAGAAAATGTAGGATCGGGGTAACCATTGGTCCGCTAGTTACTATGTCATTTCCAGTATTTTCCGGGGTAATATAATAATTATATTAATACTATAAATAATTAGTCTTTAGACAATAATAGACAAATAATATTTGTATTAACTTATAAAAACATGTCTGTTCATTTAATTTTCAATTGAATATAGATTATAATAAAGGTGTGTAATTTGTATCATAAATCAAATATTTATACGTTACACTTTTAAAATAATACATAATATATAAATATATTTTAATTCAAATAAATTATACAATTGTAAGTAATATATTATCTAAGGTGCGGGCATCTAAAT